GTCACAATCCGGCAATGCTTTCTTTGAGGGGCCGCTTTTGTTTTATCCATAGGGTTATTCTTTCAACTTTTCACTCCGTCCTTAGTTCCACGTGCATCATTCCTTTCAGTCTTAAGTCTTTCTCTCAGGATGCCATGTGGTGTAATTCTGTTGGTGATAAAGTCCTCTGACTTTACTTATGTCTTTGGCCTATAGCATCTTGATGTCTCTTTCATTTCTGAATGGAATTTTATCTGGATATTAACTTCCAGATAGGCTTTTTAATTTTTCTTTCAGCACTTTAAAAATGTTATCCCACTGTCTTCTGGCTTTACTAATTTTGTATGAACTTTATCTGTCAATCTTATTATATCTCCTTCGAAGGAAATAAGCTCTGTCTTCTTTTATAAAATTTCTCTTGTTTTAACTGACTTTTTTGAGATTTTCATACAATGTAATTTGATGGAATTTAGATCCCCTCCCCTATCCACACCTCCCCTTACTGCCCCCTGCCCAATTTAATGTTCTCTATTGTGTGTATATGTATATATATACACATATATGTATATATACATACATATGGCCTATAGAGTCTACTTTGTGTCTCCAAATGTCCTTCAGTATGGGTTCATCCATACTGGTTAACCTACCAAGAGTCTCATGCTTGAAAGAGACTGTCTCTGCCCCTCCCAGCAGCCATCTGTTGCCACGATTTCCATAGGCATTCCAATATCAAATTTCTCTTTATATTTCATTTTGAGCATCTTGATTCAGTGAGTTTTAGTTTTTCAACAGCTGTGGAAAATTCTTGGTTGTATGTTTTCTTCAAATATCTCTCCTGCCCTTTCTCCTCACTTGGGGTTCCACCTTCATAGACCCCAGAACTTTTGTGTGTGTCTCACATATTTCTTCTGCTTTGTTCTCTTCATGGATACTTAGTATTTAAGTGTTTCTGGGGGGGTTTCAACCTCACTTTTGATGTGTGCAGTCTGTTTTTTATCCATCTAATTAATTTCCATCTCCAGACTCTGTATCTTGCAATTCTAGAATATCCTTTTTTTTTTTGGTAGAACCAATTATGTACTGAATTCATTATCTTTTCATGCAATTATTTATCTGTTCTCTTTAACATATGTATTCGTTATTTAATTACACTTAAAATTTACTGGCAAAGAACAGTCACAAAACCTCACCCAAACTTGGGTGCTTCAACACATTCGCTCTTACCAGGTCTGTGGAATGAATAAAGACATATTTGGGAGACAGCTAATGACATTGGTTAGGTTACCTAAGGATTAAAGCACAGACTGCTTCCAAGATCTGTGAACTTCCTTACTTCACCAAAACCTCTATTTGAGGGTCAATTTATCATGAAATTGAAGTGTGTGTGTGTGTGTGTGTGTGTGTGTGTGTGTGTATGTGTGTGCCTTTGTGCAGTGCAAGGAATTGAACTCACGGCCTTATGCATCCTAAGTAGTCATTCTACCATTGAGCTACACCCTCAGTCTTTTTCATCTATAAAATTTTAAACTAAAAATCTTGATTTCTCTTTTGTAATCTTTGAGTATAAAGTGAACACTGGATATATTCAAGTTGTCAAACGGACTAAGCTGAGGTTTAAAGCTTTTAGACTGAGGTCTTATATATACACAGAAAAGCTAGCATACCTGTGTGTCCATCCCCAAGGTCAAGAAATAGATGGCCCCACTACCCACAGTTCCCTCCCAAACTTCCTCCCAATCATTATTCCTTTTTACCCTCCAAAGTTAACATCCTACAGTAATTTGCCTGCTTGGCACCCAAGTAAATGGAATCACATAGTAAAACTGCTTTTGTGTCTGGTTTCTTTTCAAAAACTTTTGTGTGTGTGTGTGTGTGTGTGTGTGTGTGTGTGTGTGAGATAGTGGGGATTAAATCTGATACAGGCTAAGCAGGGATTCTGCAACTGAGCCGTATCCCCACTTCACCTTTTTCTTTCATTTTTCATTTTAAGACAGGGCTTTGCACTCACTCTACAGCCTGAGCAGTCCTTGAACTTGGCATTTTCTTGTCTAATCCTCCCAAGGAGGTGGGAATACAGGCCTGTTCCACCAGACCTCATGAGTCTAGTTTCTTTCACTTAATATTATGTTCGTGAGTTTCATCACACTGTAGTTGTAACTACAGCTGGGTTTTTTTTTTCTGTTTTTGTTTGTTTGTTTTCTGTGTAGTATTCTAGGAAGACATTAGAATGTACTCAGCCATTCTGCTCTTACTGGGTATTTGTAGGGATTTTCTACTTTAGGGGTATCTTTCATGATAATATACACTCTTGTGCAATCTTTTGTTGCAAATGTGTCTGCCCCTCTTTGGTCATATTTAACATCTGTAGATACTACCAAACCATTTTTTCAGGGGTATAATTTGCTGTCTCAATCAGCAGCATGGGACAGTGCTCATTCTTCTCTTCCCCAACATCTAAATACAGGTGAGGTGTTTCAGATCAAAAGATAGGGTCTGAACTGGGGGAAGGGGTTGCAGTGGCTGCAAAAGCACAATGAACTTCAAAGGCAAAAAAGTAAACTATCTTTTAAATATTGAAGCACAATTTGATACTCAGTGGGAAACACTGTTAAAGTATCTCTTGCTTCTTGTCACCCTATGTAAAATATTTATCAAAAAATTTAAAATTATAGCGTGGCTTGCACTATAGTTGTTTGGAATAACACTGCTTTATACCATATACACATAAATAACATGATTAAAACTTCAAAAATACCTAATCTCTAATGGTACGGATATGTTGGTTGCAAAAACTATGCAGAATATTTGCTACAAAAGGCAAGTTAACAGTTCTTTCTCAGCAGAGACTCTCCCAATTTAGATATCAGTAGGACTCACTTGCTTAATTACAAAATCATTTCTTTCACAGAATAAATGAACTTCACTTTGCAGTGTATGTCTTCAGAAAGAGCGATTTTTAGCCCCAAGTCTGAAGGAAAGGGCATCTGACAATAGCACAAATTTTTGGTAATATAGTAAACCACATCTTTTGGTTGATTTAAATGGTATATTCCCTTTTATCAAACAAAACTGTCTTCAATACACTGCCCCAAATAATTGCCCATACAGCATATTCATTCAAAGTCAACTGCAATGGCAAAAGCCTGCTAGTCTTTTAAATCACATAGAGTTAACAGGTGGTAGGGAGAGGAGGAAGACGGAGGGGGAGGGGGAAGGGGAGGGGGAGCGAGACTATATCTGAAAGTAAACACGCCATAAAAACACCCAATATCCCATGAGACAGAATGGACAGAGCCAGATGGAACAAGATACTGAACACAGAATGAAAGGTGGGGGCGGGGGGCTTCCTGGGCAACTGCAGCTGAAACCGAAAAGCAAATCCCATCCCAACACCAGGCACTGCGATCTCTTTCTTGTGCGTCACAATCATGCATTTTTCTTCAGGCCAAGCAAAAACGCTTTGTGGCTCTCCCACCGGAGAATGAGCGGGGATGCAAAGCAGTTTGAAGGCCTGGAGCTGCTCTGGGAGGTCCTGAGAACTCTTACTGGGGCCCCAGAAAGACACAGTAGGGTGCACCCGGCCTCTGACCCTGGCCACCCTGCAGGGTGTGGCTGTTACCGCTGTCCACCTTCAAGTATTCACTTTCTTGCCTTTGAAATTAAAACACTCCCTAATCTCCACAAAGCTTTAAACCCCAGGCCCCCTCCTAGCCCAGCCGCTGGGTGCGACAGGTGTAGGAGCTGTCGGCCAGGCTGACTCACCCATGTCCAGGGCCTGCTGGCACCTGAGCAGCGCGGCCTCGGGCTGGAGCTGGAGCTGCAGACTCCGCGCCTGGCACCCCAGCCTGCGCAGCCGGCACTCGGCTGGGAAGCACCTCTCCAGCAGCCCGCTCAGCACCACGTTCACGCGCCGGCCCTGCGCCCGCGCGGGCCCCAGCTCGACGCAGCGCTTGCACACGGTGAGCCCGCTCGGCAGCGTCACCGGCTTGTACAGCAGCCGCCGGCAGCGCGGGCAGCCCAGTAGGTCGCGGGCCGCCACCGGCGCGGAGGAACGGCCCAGCTCGCCAGGCGCCTCGGATGTGCAGCCCTGCCCGGCCACCGCGGGAGTGCGGCGTTCGCGTAGGCCCAGGGCCCGCGCCAGGCCGCTAGCCAGCTCGCCCAGCTCCTCCGGCAGGCCAGCGCGTCCCCCAGCCGCAGGCACAGGCCGCGCTCGGGCTGCGCCAGGCCGCCCAGCGTGGCGCGGAAGAGCTCCGCTGCCGTGTCGTAGTCGCCTGCGCGGAAGGCCTCGTCGCCCTTCTCCAGGCTCTTGGCCAAGGGCTCCCCGCAGGTGCTGCGGGGGCTTTGGGGGTGCGGTGCTGTCGCCGGCTCGGGGCTCATCTCCGGAGAACTTTGCGGCCGTGGGCCGGGAGGGAAGAAGACACGCAGAGAGGATGCTCGAAGTCAGAGAGGCAGGAGCGGAGTGCGGGGAGAGGATGCTCGGAGGCAGGGAGGCAGGAGGGGACCGGGGTTGGGGGGTGGGGGAGATGCTCCGCTGTCCGAACGTGGACTCCGCCTTCGTCACCAGTCGCGGCGCATCTGCAGAAGGGCTCAGCGATCTGCGGTCACCACGCGCGAAGGGGAGGGAGGCGCAAGTGGTTGCGCGCGGACAGCGGGAACCGCGCTCCCGGGCAGGGCTGGAGCAGGTGGAGCGCTGGCTGCGCGATGTCCCGCCCAGGTCAGCCACTCTCTGCTTCCACCCGCTGATGTAAGCCAAGTGGCTGTGCGAGCTTGGCGACCACCTCTCCGCGTCAGTGTCTCCCCCTGTTCGTAGAACCTTCTTGATCTCTCCGCGTGTAGCCCCGCGAACGCGTGCGTGTCCTCTTCCTGCCTTGTGCGCGCCCTGGAGTGTGTCTGCTGCTCAGCGGACCCACACTTCGGTGCCTGCGGGTTCCCGACGTCGGGCTGCCTAGACGACCTGTGGCTCTTAAAAACCGGAGGAGGGAAAGTTTCCAAGCACTTGGTGCATCCTTGACTTTGATTTAGGAATCACTCTTAAATGACTCGAGATCCTGAGGTGGGCACTGAAGTAACAACAGCAAACTCTCAAAAGAATTCTAAATACAGACAGGCATTTTATAACTCAAATTCAATTGCAGAACGCAAGGAACGACCAGACTAGGAGCTAGGAGGAGAGATCTGAGAAATGGGCAACTGTACTGTACCCTGATTGGGAAGCAGAATTTTAAAGACTACAAGCAGAGAACTATAGACGTTAAGACGCTGGAAGGAGGGAGTAAAAGCTACATAGGTATTCAGGCGAGGACTAAATTTAAGTCCTGTGCTCATTAAATTGGCTTTATGATTCTCGTGATATAACTTCTTAATGCCTCCCATTTGTTTTAGTCTGTATCACAATGCAATAAAACACATCACCGTACACCGTAGTGTACTGTTTATTATTTCAAAGAAAAATTTCTCCATTCTAAATTTGCAATGTTTTTCTACCTCTAAAGCTGTTGGAGAAGGAAAATATGTGCTTTGGTTGAATCTAGATTAGGAAAGGGGGAAATGCCTTATTAAACAAAGAGTATTTTCAGACAGCTCTTAAAAGGGCAAAAACAGACAACTGTGAGCAGCCCTGTCCTCTTATAATGAGCAAACCTCCCCTCTGTCTGTGAGTGAGCCCAGCTGCCTGTGGGATTTGGCAGATGACAATCATAGCCATAGATTTTTGGCTGTTTCTTATGACTGAATTATTTATTCCCTTTTAACCCAGTGTGTCACGATTACAATTTGCTTGTTTTGAAGGTGAGTGATTTATTGAGAAAATTCACAACCAGTTCTGTTTGTTGATCCCTAGACTCAGACAGGTGACAGATCAGTGGGGCCATCACAGTATTAGGTGACCTCTTTTGGGGGTTCAAGTGAGGGAGTTGCACCTTTTCTTCAGTCTGGTGTGTCGAGTAAGTTCTCTGGTCTTGTTTTCCTGATAATATTGTAATACCCCTGTGTGATCTTTAGCCCTCATTTACTCTGATAAATTTAATAGGGTGGGACTGGCAGGATGGTTAAGTGGATAAAGTGCTTGCCTCGCAAGTGTGAGGACCAGAGTTTGGATCCCCTGAACCCACGTAAAAGCCAAGCAGATATGACAACTGCCTGTAATCCCGGCACTCGGCACTCAGGAGGCAAAGATGGGATCCCTGACTAACTAGACAAGATATACTTGGTGGACTCTAGGTTCCATAAGAGACAATGACTCGATAAATAAAGTGGAAGACACCTGATACCAGCCTTATGACTCCACACACGTGCATGTGCATCCTCACACATGCATGGACCAAAAATAATTATAAGGAAGCATGCGGGACTTTTAGGAATAAGCTCTGTATCAGTCTGTGCCCTGTGGATGGGCCTCTCAAATGAAAAATCACAAGTAGGTTTCTTTACAACGGGTACAAATCAGATCTTGGTGGCTCTCTGGTTGTATCTCTAAAAGTTGCTAAGACATACCCCTTCTTTCTAATATTGCCCAAAGAGTGTAATTTGTAACAAGGGTAAAAGGATGTAATTTGTAACAAGGGTAAAAGGCTGTAATTTGTAACAAGGGTTAAGGGTAAAGATTTTTTTTCAGTGAACAAAGTTGTAAGATGGATATTATGAGGGGCATCATTTAGGTCTGGGAGAGGCGTACTTGGAATATAAGGTTATATGTCATTTTGGCCCTAAGTAAGCACAGTCTAGTTACTGTCTGAAGGATAAATGCCTGGAATTAAAAGGGTCCCATACCTGGTTAAGTAAACCTCAGATCCCAGCTAATTTCCAACCCAGACACTGTGTTAAAACCCCCAACCCAGAGACTATGTTATCTGGTGGGAAAAACAAATGTCTACCCCTATTGTCTCAAACCTCCAAACTGTGTCCCTAGCACTTAAATTGAACTATGAAAATAGCCCTGTCCACTCTCCCTTTCCCAATTCCTCAACCTTTATAATCAGCCCACCAACTGTGCCCCAGGATACAGTTTTAAACCTTAGTGCTCAGCTCACTTTCTCCTTTTTATTTGGCCCAGGATTCCAGCCCATGGAATGGTGCTACCCATGGTTAAGATGGGTCTTCCCACATCAAAATTAACCTAATCTAGATGATCCCTCAATGTCAGAAGACATGCCCAGAGACTTGTCTCCTAGGTGATTCTGGAGCCTATCAAGGTAGCAATGAATGTTAACCATCCTATATGGAAAACCAAGGTCCAGAGTGAGTAAAATCAGCAGAGCCTTGTATAAAGTGACTTCGTGAACATTGAGATGGTGTCAGCATGGCAAATCGCTTAGTATAATTTCAACATGCAGATGATTTGGAAAATGTCTTACAGCATCATTGCCAACAAGCACAACTGCAACTACACAGCTCTGAACAGTACATCACTAGCAGTTTACGTAGGAAGTGCTACAAAGGGATTTTTGAATTTCAGATTTCTGTGTAGCCATAGATTCTCATAGTGATGACAGGAAAACCTCTGCAGCTGTCACCCAGCCAAAAGAGCTTGAGCCAGACTGTGAAAGCAGGAACTGTGGCTTTCATGAAGAAACTGCTGTTGATTCAGCTAAACCAAAGGGTCTTGCTAACTTAGCAACAATTGTAAAGTACGTTCAATTTGAGATCATTCTTTTTATTATGTGAAACAGATAGCAAATCACAGAGAAGTAGGATTAGTGGCTGCTCAGATAACCGAGGCAAACATTCTTGGGAATATTGGCAACTACAGAATGAATATTCAGTGCTCTGCCAGGTAAGAAGCAAGCTGATCTTAGTTGTTAAAGATATAAAATGGACAACCTGACTTGCCTATTTGTCTAGTATCTTGGTCACTAAAACTGCTCCTGATGCTTTCACTAGAGGAAGAAATAAAAAAAGGTTTTCAAGTTCAGGTAAGAATGACAACAAATGTGAAAATTAAATCATAGACAAGGAAGACTTTTACAGACTGTGACATGTTCTAAAAGTTAACTGAATGATCAGTTATCCAGGGAAAGCTCTTGATATTGAACATTTGTAAAAATTCATCATCATGTGCATGTGCCTGCGCGCGCACGTGCGCGTGCGTGTGTGTGTGTGTGTGTGTGTTTGGTGCATGCACATGAATGTATGTGTGTATGCATGTCTGTGTGCCCGTGTGGAGGCCAGTGAAGAATGCAGGATGCTGGTGTCTTCCTCTATCACTCTCTGCCTTATTACCTTAAGACAAGGTCTCATGCTCAACTGAAAACTCACCTTTTCTAGGCCAGCAAGCTCTCAGGATCTCTGCCAGTCAATGCTGGGGTTAGAGTCACATCCAGCCATGCCCAGCTTTGTATGTGGATGCTGGGCATTGGAACTCGGGCCCTCATGCTTGCAAAACAAGTGCTCTTACTGTTGAACTATTTCCCCAGGCCTTTTGTTTTCTTTTGTAGTGTTGGGATTGGAATCCAGAGCTTTACGCATTCTAGGTAAGTGCTTTACTAGTAACATGCTCAGTCCTGAATTTGATTTCTTACCCAAAGAGCTTCTAACTGGAAATTCATAGATCAGGAATAATTTCTTTCCCCAAAAGGTAATTTAAATGTAACTATAACTTTACAGAGCAAATCATGAAAATTGGCTACTGAAAAGGACTGAAGATTGATTTTGAAAGTACAATACAGTACTGCTCCATTTTGGAAAAAGTTCAGAATCAATGTCCCAAACTCCTGAAACTCCTTTGAAGTTTCCTTAAAATGTAAATGTTTTTAAATTTAAAAGCTTATTATTCTATTAGATAGTTTCTGTACTCCTAGTGTTATTAAAACAGAATATAAACCAGAAACATAATCTCTTCCAAATAGCATTGCTGAAAATCTAATTTAGATTAGATTAATTAACAAGAAACAGTCAAGCTAATTTGCTACTCTAATTTGCAGATAAGGTGGGTATACTGGCTTGTGCTATAAGCAGGAGGACCACCATATGTTTGAGGACAGCCTGGGCAAAATAGTTCCAGGATAGCCTGGGCTACAGAATGAGCCCATCTCAAAAAACAACCCTTGACAATAAAGCAAACAAATAAATAAAAACAAAAATAAAACCATTTCAGCTATGCTGGAGAATCCACAAACCTTAACTTAGTTGGCAAATATGGCAACTGGATCATTTCCTTTCCCCCATCCTCTTTCAACTCACCCTGGGCTATTCCACCATTAATTCATGGCCTCTTTCACTGAGTCCTAAGGGGAGAGGAGGTTGGCTAAATCCTCCAGCTTGAGCCCTGTTAGAAAGAAGACAGACCTAGCACTCTTGGGTGATTTGTTTGGTTACTATTTCCAGGCTTGTGATTTCCGCTGTCTGTTCAACATCTTTGCTGAACGAAGGGGACCATCTCTCTAGCTGCCTCTTCTTCACATCATCAAATATCAATGGGCTCTGGGGAATACTTTCTTGCAGTAATTTATTGTTATTAATAAGGCTAAATCCTCTAGGGGGCATTAATATCCTAAAAATGAAGCCACTTAGCCCAAATGAATGTGTGTGGTCTACTTTAGAAACCCATTTGTGGTCACCTTGCTGTACTTCATGCTCCTTACTTCCCTCATCATGCTGTAAAACACACCACACACACACACACACACACACACCACACACAAATGGATGTACCTTTGACTTCAAACCTAGCTGGGGGCAAGGAAATTATTTTGTTATCCATATGTCTTAATGTCTAGTGATCCAGACTGAAGCATGAGCTTTCCATTATCTCAAATGTTTAACATGATAAATCAGTCACCTGGAACAACAATTCCACAATTCTCAGGCCTGGGGAGGAGACACTGCTTCCAACACGACAGCCAATCCACCTGACTCATCCTTTCCTGACAGTTCCCAAGAGAAGATAATAGATGTTTGGGGAGCCAGACAAAAGAGGCTGTGCGCCAGCTTGAATGGTGATGCCAGCCTGCCAGCTGTCATCGCTCTAGATCTACAAGCAGCCTGAACACCCAGGGCCAGGCTGAGTCAGTTCCTTAGGTAGGACTTCAGGCGGGAAGATTCATACACCACACTGAACAGATGGGGCAGCACAGCAGCTGTGTTAGCATCCTGCACATTTGCAGAGCTCTTCTTCTAAGTGCACACACCTGGACTCACCCAGCAATGAGGTGAAAAGAAAGGTAAAGGGAGTTCCTGTGCCCTTCCCAGTGTCCTCCATACTTCTGTTTTACAGCTTGAATCCGAAATGTCCCCCTCATGTGTTAAAGGCTTGGTTGCCAGATAATGGGCTTTGGAGGAAATAATTGGATCCTGAGGGTTCTGAAGGATTCACAATTTGATGGCATTGTTGAGAGGTAGTGGCAACAAGAAGATGAGCCTAGTGGGAGAAAGTAGGTATGATGGGTATCTTGTCAACTTGATGGGATTACCA